CTGAATCTTAAAAACCTCAGACCCTTACACCCGAACCTCGTAAATCCTTTCCACTTCAGCCCTAAACCCTTAACCCCAAACCCCAAACCCTAAACCCTAAACCCCAAACCCCAAACCCTTAAACCCCAAACCCCAAACCCTTAAACTCTAAACCCTAAACCTTAAACCCTAAACCCCAAATCTTGAGCTCGGAGGCCTAAACCTGGTAGCTCCAACCGTTGATCCACCCATGGCAGGCAAATAACATGCTGGAGGGCGAGGACTGGGTTTAGGGTTCAGGGTTTAGGGTTTAGGGTTTTCTGCAGCTCTAAGGGTTTCCTTCAGTATCGTTTGAGGAACTTTAGACCGTTGAAAAATGAAAGCACCAAAGCATTGGGTACACATGCCTTTCTATGGGTACATGTGCATAAGGCTAGGTTCATGTTTTGGGTGTCAGACTTTTCAGACTTGGGGTTTAGGCCAGCATTTCCAGGCTGTGAATTTGGGCAAGTGTGGGGCAAACATTTGTTAATCAGGCGGTGTCGGGTGCCACAGGAGCATCGTGATTCTGGACTCCTATGAGGATGCTGTTCCTGGCTTGAGATTTTGTGTGCTGTCATGTATGTATGTATGTATGTATGTATGTATGTAGGTATGTAGGCATGTAGGTGTGTAGGTACGTAGGTATGTAGGTATGTATGTAGGTAGGTAGGCAGGTAGGTAGGTAGCCATGTCCTTACTTCTGAAGGTGCAGGTGCACGTGCATGTGCGGAAAGACTAAGTTGTTACACACAAGTTAAAAGACATGTGCAGTAAACCGGGAATGATTCTAGCGTTTTCACAAAGTTGTTGGGGCTACTACCCAAGCCAGGGTCTACAAGTTCTGCCCCTGCATTTGCATCTGCGCAGCTCTCACTTGGGCTTCAGCTATATTCCTGCACTCGCACTACTTCTCTTGTAGATTGTGACACATATACTCCATGTCGGCCATCCAAAAGCTGGTGTGGCTGCTCGTTGTCGGCCTTGTGCAAGCCCTTCGTGAGAAGGCTGACTCGGTGATTCAAAGTGGCAGTGGCGTCATCAACAGCTTGGCCTCCACGCACGCGAAAGAGGTACACACAGATGAATGGGGCTTCAAGGCAAGAGCCTTGAAGAAGGAGGCAGAGAAGGGCGATGCCCAGGCTGCCTATGACTTGGGCGAGATGTACGAGAATCTCTGCGTTGCAGAGTATCGGTGTTCGTTTGACTTAAACACGCTGCTGGTGTATGTGCGCGCTTGAGGGTGCATGTTCGCGTCGCATTTTTTTGTGTTTCCTAGGCTCTTACTTCCAGCTGGAAACGTCAGAGCCGCCCAACCCTCCCAAAAGCCGATCCATACACTCTCGCTAAGGGATGGTGAAGGCGCCAAGAAGGATAACCGGGAGGCCAACCACTGGTATCTCATGGCTTTGCGGATTCTTAGCTTTGTATAGAAAGGCATTTAGGTTGGTCGTATCTGCGTTTGCATCTGGGTCGTTCGAGACATGCGGTGGGATTACAAGAAGCAAGAGTTTTTTTTATGGACCAGGACACCTGCAATGACAAAATATTCGCATAATGCTGCTGCTGCTGCTTTCACTACTACTACTACTACTACTACTACCACTATCACTACTACTACTACTACTACTACCACCACCACTACTACTGCCATTACCACTACCATGACCACTACCAGTACCACTACGACTATCACTGCTACTACTACTACTACTACTGCTGCTACTACTACTGCTGCTACTACTACTGCTGCTACTACTACTACTACTACGACGAAGCGTAAGGTAATAAGGATCACATTTCAGTCACGTGAAAATGGCGTTTAGCTTTGCTTTGCCAGCGTTCAGGTTTCAGGCTTCGGGTTGGACCAGTGACTGAAAGATATCTGCCTTAGAGTTTGGGGTTTCACGTTAACAGCTAGTAAAATCTGTTGTGCTAAGCCCGCAGTATAGCGTAAGATTCTATCCTTTTTTCTGTGTATTTTAGCAGAAGGATTTAATCTTACCTGGCTCAAGCCAACAAAGAAGCAATGCTCACCTGAGGAATGGCAAAAAGGATGCAGAAGTGGCCTATTACCGCACGTTGAAGATTATTTCCAAGGAGAGGGCTTCGAAAGGGGATTGGACTGCCATGTACGACTTGGGCGACATCTATGAGAACCTTGCTCGCAATACTGAAAGCAAGGCAGGACATGGCAAGATATGCCCAGGCTGGGTTTAGGGTTTAGAGTTTGGGGTTTAGGGTCTAGGGGCCAGACTCTTAATTCACATTCATTACCTGTCACTATGTATAAAGGCTTCTAATTCTCGCGAGAGCTATCTGGCAGTTTCAGTAAATGGCGGGCCCAAATACAGACCCCAAGAAGTTGTCTCGTTTTTATACGGACTCCCACCCCTGCCTCTTATGTCCTGACGCTGCGGCTAAACCCTAAACCCTAAACCCTAAACCCTCACTCTTGAGGTTGAGGGTAGACCTTGCACCTCTGTCCTCAACGCCTAAACCTCGAAACCCCGAAACCCTAAGCCCGATCAATAAGCAGTTGTATCCTATAATCAGAATAGTACCCCCGCCCAAAGGTACCCCCACGGTTTAAGGAGCTAATAGGGACTTTGTAGGGCTTAACAAGGCCTAATAGGGTTCTAAATGTGGGGGGGTACCTTTGGGGGGGGTACTTTTGTAATCCTAAACCCTAATCCAAAAACCCTAAACCCTAAACCCTAAACCCTAAACCCTATTATAAAGCCTTGCAACCCTTGAGCCTTCCCAGCCTAGGCCCTAAGTTGCAATAGGCGTTCAGCAGCCGAAGGCCCAACCCCAAATCTGTCTTAGGGTGTAGGGGTTTAGGGGTTTAGGGGTTTAGGGCTCTAGGGGTTTAGGGTTACGGGTTTAGGGGTTCAGGGTTACGGGTTGAGGGGTTGAGGGTTCAGGGTTTTGCGCCAGTGACCATTTTCCGCTTTTCTGCTATGATAAGCTGCAAGCCTATATAACCCCATAACCCCAGATGACCCAAGCTGAACCCCAACCCGATACCCTTAAATTACCCTTAAATTAAATGCGTGTAGCCCTGACAGCCCTACTTGGAGGTTCATGAGACTTAGTAACTACTGGTAACTGGGCTTATAACCCTATTTTTGATGCCTTTAAATTGCCTTATGGGGGTTACCCCAATAAGAAGTAGAAATATAATCCCAGCTCGAGGTAATTTTTAAGTCCCGTGAACCTCCAAGTAAGGCCTGTGAAGCCCTCAACACCCTCAACACCTTAAACTTTTCAAGCCCTTAAAAACCCTTAACCCCTTAAATCTTCAAAGCCCTTAACACCTTAAACCTTAAACCTTTAAAACCCTTAAAATCGTTAACACCGTAAAGCCCTTAGAACCCTTGAAGCCTAAAGTCTGCTACCCTACACCCTAATCCCTGAAACCTACACTCTAAAATTTAAACACGAAACCTTAAATCGTAAACCCTAAACCCGCAAGCCTAGGCATGGGAAAGGTGGGCTCACAGATCTCAAAGAAGCGGCCAAGTATTATCAGATGGCCGCGGAGCATCAGGGCTCATGCTTAAGGTGTAGGATCATTTGGGGTTTAGGGTTCAGGTTTCAGGGTTTGGGATACTATAAGGCCCTCACCATGGCCCCCAGTATGGGCCCTGACCTAATTCCTGGGTTTCAGGGCTTAACTAGGTCGCGGATTCCTCCTGTTCAGGGTTTCAGATTAGGGGGGGGTTGGGATGCTGCCATTGCGCCACTGACTGATTACAATCAAGTTCGGGTTGTTCTTGTCGTATCAGCTTGTCTCATGTTTTCACTCGCATAGAGAAGCATTCAGGCAGCGCGGGATGCGCTTTCTCAAGCTTTGACCCCGTATCCCGACACTCTACCCAGACCTTCAACCGCCCGACCAGTTTTGAAGACCTGAGACCTAAGCCCGAATAGTAGTTTCCATTTTCCTTCCCATTGCCCCCATAGTACGCCCCCGTACAATCCCGCCTTGCTTACATACCCTAAACCTATTCGGACTCCGAGGCATGGCCATGAAAGGGCGAACTACGCCCTGGGCCGGTTTTACGAATCTGGATGTTGTCAAACATGAGCAGCTAGAGGGGTGTAGAGTTCAGGGTTGAGGAGATAAGTGATAAGTTTTCAAAAGCAATCGAAGCCCAAGATAAACCCCAATATAATGAATTCCTTATTACAGGGATCGCGAAGAAGGAACCTATCGTTTTTGAAAATTCAGATATACCCTTACTAAAGCCTTCTTTGACCCTTGCTTAGTCCTCGTTTGCGCGCCGCTGCCCCCCTGCAATCCGCCCCCTTACACCCCTGTAGCTCTGCTGAGCTCAGGAGCTTACATGAAGTTGTCACAGTATCAGGGAAAATAAGGTTGGTTGGGGTTATATAGGGTTAATCTTAGGGATAATGGAAAATACATAAAACGGAAACTACTATTTCAGGTTTAGGGTGTAGGGTCTAGGGTCACTGGAAAATAGTACAGAACATGGTTTGCTCACGGTGGCAGCTCAACACCCTTAATCCAACGTGATAGGGTTTCCAGGAAGAGAGGCCCCAACTATAATACGCAATATACTGTCAGATCCTCTAACCCCTAAACTTTGACAGCCCTAACCCAGGTAGGGGCCGCAACTATTGAAAACCCCCAAACCCAAAGCCTACGCCCTAAACTACAGCCTTAAACCCAAGACCCTACACCCTAGACCCTAAACCCCAAAGCCTTAAGATTCTAAACCTGAAACCCCAAAATTTAAAAACCCAAACCCTAATTCCAACCTTGTCATGGTCCCCGTCTAAAATAGAAGCCTAACTGACTACCAATATTTTGCCATTCTATTTTTCATTTGAGCCTTGAGTCTAAACTCCTCAAAGGGGGTTATATAGGGAATTATATAGGGGAGTATTAGCGAATTGTGACCCCAGATCCCATTCTAAACCCTAAGCTCTACACCCTACACCCTAAGCCCCTACATCAAACTCTAGAGCATGTGACCACCCTTTGGCAATTTCATTCACATCCTTCAACCGGAAACCCTTAAATAAGACCGAAAGCCTAAGCCCCTGAACCTTAATCCTAAGCACCAAAATCCCTAATCTAAACAACCCTGGAACCCTAATCTCCGCACCCCTATACCCCTGAATTGTAAATCCTATGGCAGGTTCGTCTACATGGGAGTGTTTCAAAATCATCCCCAAACAATCCTTCAAAACTCCCCTTCAACCCGAAACCCTAAATCCTAAACCTTAAACCAAATAGGGACCCCCCATCCGCCCTTTCAATCCCTCGGCATCCCCCAGGGCTCCCTACTTTGAGAAACCCCCACATTCTTCAACACCTGAACTCTAAAACTTAAACCCCAAACCCTAAACTTCTAAAACCAAAGCTCCGCAACTCTAAGCCCTAAACCCTAAACCTCTCAGCCCTAAGCCCTACGGCAAGACGTTTGTAAACCGCAACCCAGGAAGAAGGGAAGGGACCCCTGGAGAGCATTCTGGAACATGGATTTGGGGTTTCTTTTGTTTGTGAGGTGTTTAGGGTTTAGGGCGTAGGGTTTAAGGGTTGAAGGTTTAGGGTTTAGGGCTGAGGGTTCAGGGTTGAGGGTTTAGGGTTTAGGGTACAGGGTTTACGTAGGGCTCGGTGTTTGGAGTCTAGAGTTTGAGGTTCTACGTAGGGTTTAGGGTGAAGGGTTCAGGCAGTAGGATTTCAGAGGTCTAGACCCTAAACCCTAAAAACCTGGGGTTAGGTGTTTTTTTGGTATTTAAGGACAAGTCAGGGCTTGTCGGTGAGCGTGCTTTAAACATATGGGTCTCGAAAAGAGAGGGTCCCCCGTAATAGAGTTCAGGATTCAGGGTCCCTCAAAACGGGGTCCTGCATTCTTGGAAACCATATATACACATACAACCATGTGCTGCTATCGGTTATGCCCACTCGGGCGCAGACGAGATCTGCTGAACAGTTTCCTCCTGAACCCTAAGCCCAAACGGGATTTGTCACGAAGTTTCTCCTCAACCCCAAACCTTGAACTGGATTTGTTGGAAAGTACACCCTAAAACCTTACACGCTGCACCTTCAACCCTAAACCCCAATTTAGGCGGGTCTGGCAGTGGCTGGGTATAACCCCCTATGTAATCCCTAAATAACCCTATCTAATCCCTAGATAACCCCTATGCAATCCCTAGATAGCGCCTATGTCATCCCTATATAACCCCTGTACAATCCCTAGATAACCCCTATTTGTAGTCACTATAAAACCCTATATATTTCCTAGACAGACATAAGGATTGTGACCGCCAACCTGAAGCCCTTGCAAGCACGAAAGAACTTTGTCAATAAACCTTACATGGACCCCAAACCCCTGAACCCTAGTTCCTACACCTTAAGCCATATACGTTAGACCGTAAACCCTAGACCCTAAACCTTAAACCTAGACCCTAAACTTCAGCGCAAGGCGGCCTAGAGAAGAGTTTCGACAAGGCTGAGAAGTACTACAAAGTTGCCGCCGATAAGGGCATGGCGGATGCCATGAACGCCCTAAGCCTTTTGTACCTTGCAGCATGTTTAGGGGAAGTGGTAGAGGTTTAGGGGCTGGGGTTTAGGGAAAGTTCTTGGCACTTGGTGCCCACCACAAAAAAGGCCTCTCCAATTGTACCTGCTGTCAAGGTGTGATCCAGGAAAGATTTTATGAACTCTTCTTGCAAGGAGCTACTGCCAAGGTGACAAGCCTTGTTCCTTGTACACACGTTGAAAAGCCTCGTCAGCACCTAGGAGAAAACCCAAGTATAGAGAAATGGAGCTTTGTGAAAGCCCCTGTGTCTTTTCCAGCTGCTAAGGTACGGAGAAGGCCGAAACGGTGTGCCGAATGCTTACCAAGCAATCGAGTACGCGAAAAAGGCCGCAAACAAGGGCCACCCCGAAGCCAAGGAACGGTTCTACGAGGACCGCCTCTGCTTTTAGGGTTTCTTCTTGCAAAGTTGGATGAGTCGCGTGACGCGCACACGAATTCAAGACATGCAACAGGTAAAAACTCCAGCAAGCTATGCGAAGTCGAAACAATCAGGCCTGTAGCAGAAGAAGACTTCTCGCTGCTAACAGCTTTGGACATTCGTGACCAAGGCACCTTCGGACTTTACAAAGGCCGAGAGGCTCTGGAACAGTGTCTAGAGTTAAAGAGAAAATGGCACCGCGCGCAGAGCTTCGTCAACTCCATCGAGGAAGCAAGGCCTAAATCTGAAGGGAGGACTGGAGAAGATCTTGAAATGTGGTGCAGCGCCTAAACTGTTTGTAGCAAACTACTTCTGGATAGGCCGTTTCTACAGCAATGCACTCCTCAGACTCTTCAGGTGGGTTAGGTGCCGACACTGGCCACCCCATTGCGCGTGGGAAACGGGGCTCCGCGACTGCAGTCCTGAGGACTGCAGCCGTCCTGTTGCCACGTCCAAATTGATATTGGCTCCGTCAACATATGACCACGCGTCCCATTGCCAGCAATCACAACATTCAGCGCTTGCATAACACCGCTTCCTTGTGCAAGGTGTCCACACAAGAAATGGCTCAGGTGCCGTATCAGGAGTTGCCTGTCCAGGACCTCGGTTCAGAGAACAGAGGCGCAAGGCTGTAGCTTGAGCCTCCAGGCATCAACAAAGCCAGCCGCTAACGCCAAACAATTGCAGGACGTGGAGGAGGAAAAGCTGAGTTGTAAACGTGAGAATACTCAGCCGATCACCTGTTCCGATGGACCATTGGCGTCTGAGCTGCTTGTCACAAGCAGGGGCTGTAGGGCCCGGTTGAATGAATCTAACGTACATTGCCACAACATGCCACAAGCGCCGTGTCAGTTGTTCAGCTGTTTGAGATCGGACTCTGACAGCGCAGGAATATCGAGGGGGTCTTTGTCGTCTTCGATCAGCATGTCCCAGAACCCTTCGGTCTCACTCCCGTCTCCGCGCGCAAGGCGTGTTCGACTTGAGTCCTTGTTTCCATCAAGTTATCTGCGAGTGAAGCTTTTGCAGTGGCAGCTATGCGTTGCTGGCCCTCGCGGCTTGCCAGCTTCCTTGATGCCTGTGCAAGGAGATTTGTGAGGCCATGCCGAGGGTGGGGTGAGAATTTCCCCAGCCTCCATTTGTCTCCTTGCGTCCCAGGACGGTGATGCCATGTATGGATCGCAGATTGTTGCAGCGCCCTCTCCGTGCTGCCTTGCCCTGGCAGTAGTGAACTGCCCTTCCTTTCTCGCAAGGCCGGGTGTGCGTCCCAAGGGATACGTAGCTTTCGGTGGAGCCGCGATGCTCTCCACTTTTGTTGTCTGAGTTTGGCCCCCTAGGTGAAGGCAATCCAGTATTTGTAGGCCTCTGCGGTGTAATGACTGCTCCAGAGGCAACCACGCCGCTTCCATCTTTCAATGTTATCCTTTGCTTGGCCGCCGCTGCAGTTTTCGGACTGCCAATCCGGCGCAGTTCCTCCTTCAGCCAGCAGTCCAGTTCTTTACCCTGCCCTTCTCCTGCACAATGGTGGTATCCTTCATAAGCGGTAGCCAGCCTCGTCCATGTCCGCATCGCCATGTGCCATCTGTTGTCTTCCATTTTGCAGTGGTTCCACAGCCGCTGCTCTGGCGTCCGCGAGATTCTGTCGAAGTTTGCTTTGGTCGTTCTGGAATTTAGCACTTTCCGCTGCATATGCCTTCTAAAAAACAGCTTCGTAGCTTCGCCACTGAGACTGGCTTGGATGCACACCTTGCTCTACTTTACGTTCTGCATTCACCGCACGTTGTATCTCCCCTTGATGGCGCTTTTTCCTCCACATGTGGTGTTTTCGCGGGCATTCTCTGCTGCGCTATCACCACGATGTTCTGCTTTGGCTGTTGCTTGTATGCAGGGACTGTGAATTTGCCTCCTTCTTGCTGTAGCTCTGCCGACCCTCTGTCCTACCGCCCTTGCCAGTGCCATAACCAACAGAATGATATGAAGATGGAAGATGTTTGCTGTCCGCACCATTTCATGAGCGTCACACAAAGTTAGGCTTCAGTCCATTGCTCGAATGTGATGCAGAGCCTTGATGGAACAGCAACAGAGAAAGCGACTGTCTGATGTGCGAGCCCTTGTTCAACCTATCACATGCAACTGCTCTGCGACGTCGCAGATTCCTATGCTAGGAAGGTGAAGGCGCATTACGTGCTAGGGCACAAGCGATCCAGCTGGTGGTTTTTTCTTGAGCGCCTTTTTTGGGTTCAGGTTTTAGGGTTTAGGATTTGGGGTTTTAGGGTTGAGGATTTAGGGTAGAAGGTTTAGGATTTAGGGTACAGGGTTTCAAGTGTCCTCCGAGCTCAGTCTACACTTCCAGCATGGCTAGGGCTGGTGATGAAAAGTAGTTCTTGCTGAGAGCTCACATGTCTGAAGGGATGATATGAGACTTTAAGGTTTAGGGTTTAGGGTTTTCCCAATACAATTCCAATAATTTTTCACCAAAAAGGAGCTAGTGCGCCTGAGCGCCCTAATTTGAGAAACCTCCATATGGGTGGACAGTCGCCAGTGGGGTTCCTGGTAGCAACCATAGTTTTTAAAATACATTCTGTGTTTGATGGCGATAACAGGACAAATCAGGCATGTGGATGTTGATATTTGGACGACTGATGTTCGAACATGTACCGCAAGCATATTCTCAGAGTTCAGAATTGCCACGGCACGGTTCCACGAAGCCAGCTCCCTCAAGTGACATCTTCTAAACATCGCCCAATCCTGCTTCTAAGCTCAGGAGAGACGGGTGTTTCATTGTAGCTGTACTATCAAGACTTTTTTGTGTTTGATTTGTCAGTGGTTAATATTCCATTGGATGCCAAGCAGAGGGTTGTACGACATGTGGAGCACAATGGTTGCTACATCCGCCACGCACAAGTTCGGCATGAAATCCACAACTTCCCGTTGTTTCTTTTCATGAGGCAACCAGCCAGAGGCCCTAATTCCTAGACTTGGGAGAGTGGACCCTACTTGGGGGATCACAGGATCACAGGGCCTTAAACCTTCATCCCGGCCCGACAGGACAAAACCTTCCAAAAGAGGATGTACGAGCGGGCGGCCGCCAAGGGTGATGCTGGGTTGCTTTCACAATGTAGGTCTCAGCGTTCTTTACGGTCATCTAAAGCTTATCTAGGGTTATTGGAAGGTTCTGCACGGTTTGGCAAGGTTCAAGGTGCAGGATAGTGGAGAACCAGACGGAAACAACATGGCAAATGGCACGGCAACTGCCGGTTGTATAGTGGCCATTTAGGGTGTTAAGGAATTAAACTGAGTTACCAAAAAATGGGCGCATAGTAAAACAGTTCAAGTTTCGTAGCAGCAACTCAGGATGTGGAATCCATGTTTAAGCTCGCCGATGTGTATCGCTATGGCCGCTTAACTTGAATTTGGGAGGCGTCTAGGGATCAAGCTACTTGTCTGTGGACGCTCCAAATATTCGTCCCAATTTACGACGGTTGTAGGCCCAAGGTATCCAAGTAGAGAGCTTAAGCTAAGCTTTCATGTAAATTTTTTGGCAGCCTGACTTCAACACGCCAATCCGATGTGGAACTGTATCGTTATTTTCAGTGGATGGATCTTTCTTTCCGGACAGCCCCGCATCCAGACACATAGGGTTAAAAAGGAGTTATATAGGGATATATCAGGGTAGAAATGGATTATATGATTACATGGGGTCATACGGCTTTATACAGTTTAGAGTGCAGGCCGGTGGAGTCGGTGGAGAAGCAAATGGAAAGAACATGCAAAATGAAACGCTAACTCGGGTTACATATGTTTATTTAGGGCGTTAAGGAGTTGGGATGAAGTGACCCGAGCATGGGTACATTCTGTAAACCAGGCAGAAACGGTCTGCCGCGAGACACGGACAAGGCATATGAGTGGTACCACAAGGCAGCGCGCGAAGGTGACACGAGGCTCTGGAGCTGTGGGCTTTCTGACCAGGGTGCTATTCAGGATTGCTACATCACGCTTCCGGTTTGAAATGTAGACATTTGGATGCTTGCCAAGCACCCTGGAATAGCGCTAGTAAAATCTACCGTATTCTGATTGGAGGGACCCCTACATGCTTTTTTTGGTACCTGTTGTCATCATTATCAGTATCAGCACTATTGATGTTTTCGTTATTTTTATTCGCACCCGAAACCCTAAACGCAAAACCAGCATTGTGATGAATCCCCTACTAACCTGACTATACTGCCTTTGCAAGGCTCCTTAATTGATTTGGATGAGCCCTAGTTGTCCTTGAACAAACCAAATTAAGGGGGAATTTTGGGGGGGTAGTATAGGGTGGTAGTAGGTAAATTCATGATAATATGAGATGAAGTGGCAGTCAAGGCATTTGGTATGTCTTGTGGCAGAATGCCCTAAGGTTCCAGGGTTTAGGGTTGGGGGCTTCCAGAACAAAAGGGTGGGGGCGTTATAGTACGGGTGCTACTGGATGGAAACTCCCATAAGAGTACGATTGTTTCCAAACTTTCTGGCTTCCATTTCGGAGTACGAACAGGACCTCACTCAAATCCACAGTCCCAGAAGATGTAGTCTCTGGGGATTCAGGAGTATATGAGGGTCAAAAAACGCAATGGGATTGGGGGTCCCGCCTAAGAACCCCGGCCCGTCATTTCTGAGACATAATTACTCAGTTAGAGATTCTTCCAAATCCCTACACTGCGATCCCGAAACTGTTTGACGGGAACTTAAGACCTTGCAACCCTAAACCATAGTTGGATCCCTATATGAGCTATAATCTAAACTCTTAGTATCCCCCTTAATAACCCCCATAGTAGTTCCCTATATAATCCTCTATATAACCCCTTTAAGGAGTTTAGACCATAGCTCATATACTAATCCCTCACGCCAT